ATTGACATGGGGCTTTCTAGAATCTAGATGTTTTAAAAAGTTATGGTGAATTTAAGAGAAATGTGAAAAAGTTATAATAAGTTTTAGATAATATCCCTAAATAATAATTAGTATAAATGATGGAAATAACTACAAAATATGAAATGAAAGCGGTTTAATCCAAGGAGTCATCAAATCATTAACCACATCAAGGATCTCTTTGCTGGTGGTTCTGGGTTGATACAAATAGGGATGATTATGGGCAGGCCCAGGCTGGGATTTTACAATGTAACAACAGCATTAAGGCTTGCTCGAGCCTAGCCTGGCCCACACCCCGGGCTTGATATTACATGTCCAAGCCCAATCCCGGACTAGTTATTGTCTATATATTAATATATAATACCATACATATTTGGTCAAATATCATAAATACCATATATGCATGTATACATGCTATACATAGTTACACACTACATTTATATAAATATAGATTTGGTAAAATATTATACCATGTATGTAAGATAATACATTATTACCAAAAAATGTAAGAAATTATGCATGCATACATACATATATACATGCATGCATGCATACATATATGTGTGTCTGGTGGGGGGGCTGACCTGCATTATGCGTGGGCTTGATGCAGGTTTGGGCCAAGTCGGGTTTGAAAGAAATATGGCTTCCCAAACCCTAAAATTTGTAGGTCAAGCCAGATAAATGATCATCCCTAGATACACACCAAAAGAATCTGACTTGATGATGGTGTCAACTAGTTCCATCAGCCGATTCAACTATGAATTGAAAACAATGCCCTTGGTTGATTAACAAGAGTTCAAATCAGCCCCCCACAACGTCCCACAACACATCCCCGCCGTGTATTGAGAACATCTCCCGATGATGACATCATCATTTTTAGGAATATCATTGGAAGATGCTCCCAATACACTGCAGGGATGTGCTGTGAGACGTTGTGGGGGGCTGATTTGGTCTCGATCAATAAGGGTTATAAGATTGGTAAAGCGGGGATATAAGAGGTTTATGCATAGTTTATTGTGATCCTTCTCATATTCATTTTATTATTCCCCCACTTATTACATGAAACTACTCTCACTTTCCAAACTACAATTAGAAGAGGTTGTGCACAACATAGACAATTGGGAGATCAATTTAATTGAAGCCGGTAGGATTGGGTTCGAGCTGGGCCAAGCTGAATATTTGATTATTCAAGCTCGGCTTGGTAGAAAAACATGAGGTTTGAGTTCGGGATTGTGTTTGATTTGAAATAAAAACATGAGCTCAAATTTGACTCGACTCAAAAACTCGTATATTTGAGTTTAGCTCAAATCAAGATTGACAATAAGCCAAGCTTCTTATAAAAAAATAAAAAAAAAAAAAATATTTCTTATTATACAATAAAAATTAAAAAATACATATTATTTTACATATAACAAATAAAAAATAATATGTATAATATAAGCTTAATTAGACTTGTGAGTTTCACGAGACAAACTTCATTGATTTCAATTTTGAAGCTCGATTTAGATTGAAGCAAATTGAATTTTTAACAAGCTAAGTTTGAATGGTTTGTGAAAATCTGGATTCATATCCATCCTCAGAAACTTGGTGCATTTGATAAGATAATCACTAATCACAAATCACAAAAGCACAAGGAATCCCTTTGAAGTTTGAACTACATCTAAATTGTTTTGTATGACATCTTTCTAAAAAACTGTTATACATAAGCTGATGATCGCTAGCTGAAATGGTCATTCCGCATCCATGGAGGCACGCAGGGGCGGAGCCAGGGGTGGCGGAGAGGAGCCATGACCCCCCCCCCCCCCCCCCNCCCTGCCTTCTAATTTCCCACAAAATCCATTTAAATTCCATTTATATTTTGACCTCTTTATTTATGTTTCTTAAATTTTGGCCCCTCTTATCTATATTTTCTAAGTGTTGAGCCCTAAAAAATTCTAACTCCGGCCCTAGAGGCACGAGATCTAACTCTGGTTCTCCATGCTTAATGGACCTCACGTGCCCTATGCTATATCCCTACTCCTTAATCCCTTCTAATTTGTAATATCAAGAAAAAAAAAAACTGTTGCGTGTAAAATTTGAAAACCCTTTATGAAAATGCTACGTGACTCATCTATCAAATATTAATATCTGATTATCATTAATGATATATATATATTTTACTGTTGTCATGTATCAAATCATTTTAAAATCCATTTATTTTATTTATATAATATGATATCCCCTTTATCATCTTTGAATTTGACTTAACAAAGCACCATCCGAATGGATAGGAATCTCCCTCGAAACCTTTATAAAAACCAAAAAGCACTTTTTTTGGAGTGGGGAGTGGGGGAAATTACTTCACTACCTCTTTTTTTTTGGTCATTGTCATTTTTTATTTATTTTTGTTATTTAAGTCGCTGAACTGTGTAAAACCAAATTTCAGACATGAGTGAAAAGACATAGATATCCTGTATCAACACACTGTTGCAATTGTCTTTTGAAAAAAAGGTCCCGTCCTTTTTCGTAATTAAAGTAGGGGGTGATCATGGCCCGGGCCGGGCCTAGCCGAACCGGGCTTTCCAACCATCAATGATCACAGAAGTTGGAGTGGCAAAATATCATTTTCACTTTCTCTATTAAAGTACCAAAGTTAATTATTTTAAATAAAAAACAGGCAATTGATTAGACGGTGAAAGCCTGAAAGGATCAACCATCTGACTTTTCCAGTCCAACGTTCCACTGGACTAGCATGTGCAAGTGCAACACAGTATCATTATGTCACGCTTGTACCGCTACAAATTAACAAAACGGTGAAAGGATCATCGGACAAAGAAACTCTTAACTCTGATCGTTTACACTTTTCAGATCTGCTGGTCCCACATGCTACAGTGACGTGGCTTATCGTCATTGGCCCTGTATAGTCCTTAGAGGATTCCGACAAATATATAACGCGCGACTCGTGAAACTACCAACTAGCGAACAGACAACCTTTCTTTTTCGCTTCTGTTTTTGGCAAAGGTGATGGGTTGCAGTGGGAGCGGTCACGCTCGTATGTGGTGCCATTTGTTATTTCATTATTCATTAATTGAGAATTTGTTTTTGTTCCTATAATTTTTAACCAATAATTGATGAACACGGTTTTATCGGCGAGAGCGCGCTCGCAGGGTGATCATAATCTTTTGGGTAAACACTAAACACGTTCTGAGTCCTGAGTCCTGACAAACAAAACAATCTAAAAATCTGCTGGTGGGCATTAGGCAAGCAATCATAGGTAATTTTCCAACCGTCTGATCTTTTCGAGATTGGGCTGTACCGACAATACATGGGTGGGCCGGTGCGTCATCCGTTTGCAGCATAAATCAAGGAAACTTCAGGTTTGTGTAGATTCTTCAGCCTGCCCGCAACAAAAGTGGGGCATTCGAATTCGAATATTACGTTTGCCGTATCTAATGGGTGGGTGAGTTGGTCAGTCGGATGATTGATAATGACATTATTATGTTTTTGGGAGAATATTGGTAATTTAGATAATTATTTTGTTTATTCATTTTTCGAAAATGCTAATTTGATATTGGATTTAAAGGGTGCTCTTTAGATGAAAAATTAGTGAGTGTGGATCAGTACGCATTATATTTTGAGATAGGGACCAATTTATATCATCTCATAATTCACAGTTGTTGTGAACTATAGACAAAATATGTGGACTAGATCAATCCATACCTATAGTGTTGTTCTTTAGGCCAGTACATACTATACTTTTTTATTCAATGGATCTCATACACATTTTATATAGTTAATCATAAATGTTTAATTTTTGCATTTTATACGAGAAATATATTAAAAAAAGACATTGATAAATTAATATTAATTTTTAATAAAAATAATAGTAAAATAACTAAAAAAAATAAAAATGTATTCTAAATATTAAAAAATATTATTCTATTGATAAAATATTTAAATATAATATTTAAATAGATAAAAAAAGTGGAGAATGAGCACTAGGGAGCTTGTATTAGAATTAAAATTAAAAATAATATTTTATTAATTAAAAATTAAAAATTAAAAATTAAAAATTAAAATATAAAAAAAGGAAAAGTATGTAGAAGAGATCTATTATATCAAAATTGAGTATGAAAATGATGTGGACCAATCACATCTACGAGATATATATGTAATTAAGATTTGAACTGTGAACAAAAACGATTTATGATATAGTGTGAAATGATTCCATCCATAACCAATCAAACAGAAAATTCATCCAATAACATAGACCGAAAATGGTCCATCCGCGAGATAAACATGTTGGCGAAACGCCACATCAATTCTTACAAAGAGGTACAACCACTTTACTTGAAATCTTTCGATGAATAAAAATAAAAATATACAATTTGTTGTTAGGACTTAGGACGGTGTGAACACTGTGTTTGCCAGGACTGAATCCGAGTTCTGCCAATCCCTTTCCGCCTCTCTTTATGTGGATTCTGATTAGCTAAAATGCACAAGAATGCTGGTACCGGACTTGGGACAATATTTGTTTGGGTAAACTGGCTTATCCAACGAAGTGAAAACAATCGGGGTACATGGGTCCCAGTTATCCGTCTGACGTGGTCTATCAAGATTGGTCCAGTTGTAGCAATGGATTTGAGCTGGACGAAGAACATGTCAGTGGTGGGAGGAGGCAAGGGCGGGGCTCCAACTCCATTCCAACGTTAGCTAATTAGCTCTGCTTGGCAGCTTTAAATGGAAACTTAAAAAATTAAAATAAAATAAAGCCATTTGCTTTTTCTGCAATTTTCTTTAATATTTTATTCTCTTATATCAAATTATGCCCTTTATTAATCTCATTTATTATTATTTATTTGATTTTCTTGACGGACGCGAATCGTTTTCTTAACCAAATCGTATATTTCGAGTTTTGAGATTAAAATATTATTTTATTTCTAATTATTTCATTGTTAATTAATTTATTTTTTCTTTTATTTTTGATGTATTTCTTTTCGCTTCTTTCTCGCAATGCAGTGTTCAGACATCTGAAAAACCGGCTAGCGGTTTTTCGGACACCCGAAATTCGATTCGGTTGGTGTGTCAGTGGAAGATCTTCTGTAGCAAAGCAAGGTTGGCAAAATGAGGATAATCTGCAATTAACTCTACTGGTCGTAGTTTTTTTTTTTTTCTTTTTTTTTTGTTTTCCTTTTTTTCTTTTGATGTTATGGAAGAGTCTCCATTATAGGTGTGTAACTTGACGAATTTTCAAGGTTTGTGATTTCTTTTGATTTTTTTATAATTAAGTTCTTGTGTCTGCTAAATGTGTTCGTTTTGAAGTTTGATGTCAGTTTCAGTGTTCCGAGTGTTTGAGTTAATTAATATTTGTATTCTTGGTGAGTGGTTTTAGGGTTTCTTTAAAATTATATATGAATGGAAGGAAGAGAAGAGATGCAAACGGGAATTGCAGTCATGGGTTCTGAAGCTCCGGCCAGCTTTCATGTAGCTGCAAGAACGGATAACTCAGCTCAAGTTCCGGGTTCAACTACAATGTCCGTTTCACAAGTAAGTGTAGCTATGCCTGGGACGACTTTGAAGAAAAAGAGAGGAAGACCAAGAAAATACGGTCCCGATGGAACTGTGTCCTTGGCGTTATCGCCGATTCCGATTTCGTCATCGGCGCCGCCGGCCGTCAGTGAGTTCTCGGCCGGGAAGCGGGGTAGAGGGCGGCCAACTGGTTTGATCAACAAACAACAACCGAAATTCGAGATTGAAAACTTAGGTAACGAGAACTGTTCTAAGTTTTTCAACTTGAATTCGTTACTTATCATGTTTTTTGGTTTTAGTAGCTTAACCGGATCTATGATTTGCTCTTATAGTTTGGTTAGAGTATCCCAGTACTTGTGTGCTATAGTTTCGGATATTTGAGTTTGTCCTATATGAAACTTCACAGTTTCTGCTTGGTTTGTGGTCGAATTAATTTTTACACTTCACTTCTAGTTCTAAGTTTGAGGTTTTGGGCATCGCTGTTGGGGTTAATGTGGGACCTTGTGCTATTTTTACAACACCTTGGCATGAGATGCCCCCCACGGATCTGGAAGAAGATGGGTTTCTGATAAAGCGGTGGGCTCTTGTGGGGTTGATGTGGGGATGAAGGAATCTTCCTCTTCTGGCTAAGACATTTGCATTTCTTGCCTTTTTGTGACAATGCAACTATGCAAGGACAAACATTATGAGAGATTGTTCTGTGAAGAATTTGACATTTCTGGCTTCCATTCTTTTTGATGGGAGGAGAGGAAGAAATGGTAGTCCTCTTTCTAATGCATAAACTGTTGGTTTCTTGCTAATGTAGCTAAATTAACAAAGGTTTGTAGGTCTATTTATTTGATTCCTTCACTGTCAGGTCCCAAATAAGGAGTAATTATATGCTATATTTATTTTTTGTGCATAATACATGGTTAGTTTTGTTAGCTAGTTTACTTATAAAAAATGTTTTATTGGCTAGTTTTTTTATTGCAACTGATGAATCTCCTTCCCTGCAGGACCTAGTATATTTTTGCCTTCTCCTTTTTTTTGTTTTAATTCTTTTAACATTGTTTTTTTTTTAGAACTTTTAACATCGTTTAGGTAGTCATTTTATTTGACTTACTTGCTGAAGCAAGAAGCATCAGAACAGACTTCATAGACCTGGGTGACCAAGATTCAAATCTTGGAAACAACCTCTCTGATGTCGGACCAGCTCAGTTCTAGTCCTTAGAGAATGTTGAATGGTCTTCTTAGATCAGAATTTTGTGGCTGTTGATGGTTGTAATGGCTTCTTGAAGGAATAAGAGAGAAGATAGGGAGAGAAAGAAGAGAGAAAATACCTGGAGTCACTTACAGGGTGCCTAGAATCACTCTAGGGCATGAGAATCACTCACCATAGTTATTTTAAGCGGAAGAAAACTCAATAAACTTCATTGCCTTTATGTAAAACGTCCATACATATTTATAGACTCTAAACTCTTAATAATCCTAAGCGTCAAACTGTTAGACTAATAGTCCTAGGAGTCAAACTGTTAGACTCAATAATCCTAGTAAGACTCAAACAAAGCTATCATATCCTATTTCAATTCAAAGAAGGCTCAATTAACTCTAGTCGTACCTATGCAATGACTCTGAAATTTTAAAATAAACAAATTATAACTAGACAAATTAAACCCTATTGTTGGACCCCACAGAAGATTGCAAAATGACAAAAATACCCCTATTGTCCAAAAATGCAGAAATACATAAAATTTCTTAAAATTCCAAATTTGACTCTTCAGCTCCTGCATCACTCTCTATATGTGCAAGGGTAAGGCTGCATACATCTGTCCCTCCCCAGACCCTGCATTGGTGGGAGCCTTGTGCACTGGGTTGCCCTTACTTTTTTTTTTTTTTTTCTTTTTTCATTCTAGTCTTTCATGTTCACTTCATGAAAGTTTGGAAAGAGGTCTACCTACAATCAAGAATTTGAAGAGTGATCTACATTAACAATGGACATGTCACCATAAGAGAGAAACAAAAGTTAATCCAATAATGCAATTTAAACATAGGATGATGTATGAATAAGCTTTATAATATTTGAACAATTCATAATTGTTGGAGGGGATTTTGCATTGCCCAGCTATGTTGATTTGGGGGGCTTATGTGTCTCTTTGTAGGAGGAAATACTGACACAGTGAGCTGGTCATGGCTGACTGAATCCTCAACGGTTGTTCAAGCAGGTAAACCTGTATCAAGGCTGGTTCAAGCTAACGTTGCTGCCATTGAGGTGCTTTGGATGAAAAGAGTCATGGGCAATATTTTTTAGGTCAGAAACATGAAGATATGGACAATGATAGTGAGGTGGGTAGTTACAACTGAAAAAGTGAGATAGTTCATTAATCTACTTAGTAGAAAGTGACGATAATTCCTTCTAGTTACAAAGTTTTGTCTTCTTTGAAGGTGATTGAGAATAAAGGGTATGGGTTTTCAGGGAGGTTCAAACTCTTTTCTTGCCTCCATTTGTCCTATTTATTGGTGAGGTTGGACATTCAGGGTTGGTCAGTGGGCACGTAGACCACAATCATCACCTAAGGTCTAGGTGATGTAGCTTAGGTCAGGTCTGTTTAATAGTGAGCAAAGAGGGGAAAGGCTACTTTTCTCCCTCCAGATACAAATTCTTTGTCAGGGTATATGTAGCCTGCAACATTAACCTCAGCAATGTCATGAATCCTTGGTTCATGCACTAGTCTCTAATAGGGGCATTTAATGCATTAATTTTCAACTCTGTTGCGTGGTGTACACAATGTTCTGAAAATTGTAATCATATACAAACTTGTCAAAAAAAAAATCTAAAAATTGAATATTTTACACTACTTTTAATCCGTATCCTCCAACAAAGAGTTTACCACTTGTGCACTAGAAGCCTAAGATGATATAATCCAGTTTGACTTGAAAGTCAAATTATCCACATACAATGTCTCTTTAACCTGCATATGATGGAAAATAAATAGAAAATAATGACAAAGTAGAGAACTAATTCTTAATTGAATTTATTTGAATCACATGAATAGTAAAATTCATGAATCAAATAGTAGAATTCAAATAAAAATTTTAAGATCTTTGTAGAAAAGGATTCAGATATAACATTAAAATTGGAATCTTTGGGATTTGCAGTTCAAATTTTCAAGTTGTGAATTGCCACCATAGCCCTTAAGTCAGGGTTGCAAGCCTGCAACGATAGTGTTATCTTGTGTGGATAGGGCATTTTTCCTGGGTGGACAGGAACCATCCTCCTCTGTACAAGAAAACACTCATTAAGGATGTCACACGACATGGACATGGTTGGGGTGGACCTAGGCCATAGTGAGCTGTAAATGTTATCTGTTTGTCCAAATTCAGGATTAAGGCAACCTGAAACTGGTCCACTTATAATTGGATCTAATATCAATCTATCCCAATCTGATCCAATAACAGTTTTATTCCTATATCTACATAAAATTAATATGTATCTATTAGTAAAGTTGGTTTTAATGTTATATGTTTACTAAAAATCATAGGTTCAAGTCTGATAAAAGTTATTTTCAAGTCATTTTATTCATGATGTGCATTATAAAATTCATTTTTAGTTTATTTTATTAATAACATAATGTTGTGACTATCTTTAGTTTAATTTATTAATAGTATCAAATATATGAATCTGATTCAAGTCCAATCTAAACCTGATGGATAAGACTTCAAATTTGGATCTAGGTATATCTAATTTGATTTTATTTGTTGCCCTAGAGAGTGGCCAGGGCAAGGTAGGATGTGGCAAGAGTGGCTATGACAACCATGTCTAGGTTGAGCCTGACTGACAAATTCAGATGCCATGTTGTGCCGAGTATGCTCTGCTGCATGTGGCTGCACATGTGGATGGTGACCAAAAACCAACATCAATAATCATTTAAAGGAAGTTTGAGTATACCGGTAGGATTAGTCTTTTTCTAATCTGTAAATGCACATGAGTATTGACACAATTGAAGTCAAATGAAGAAGATCCTAAAGCCCATTTCCTACTTGAAAATTGGAGCACACCTTTTCTTCTTATACTGTTATACAATAGAATTCTAGCCTGGTGACCAAGGCTGCAATTTTATTCCTGAAATGTGCACATTAGGAATTTTTATTGAGAAAGGTCAAAAATGGACACTAGGAAATTTAGTGCAGAGTTGGAATTTTTCTCTTTGGATTTCATGATTTCTTAAAAATGATTTGCAGGTGAGTGGGTTGCATGTTCTGTTGGTGCAAATTTCACACCGCATGTTCTCACTGTCGCTACTGGTGAGGTATTAAATCCAAAATTGACTGTCTTGTTTCTCTTGTACTTGTTCTGTATCTAGTTCACTAGTTGTGGCCTATATGTGATATAAAATGCTTTTTTTTTATCTTTTTGGAATTGGTAAATATCCCACTTAATTGTAGAAACCCATATTTGCACTTGTTATTCATCAGAAAAGTTTCCAATTTGGTTGAACCTTACTTTGGTCGAAGTTGGGTTGTTCAAACCAATCTTTATATATTAATTTTTAAATAGTCATATTTGAAAGCTTGATATATTATGAAAACGGAAAGAAAATAAAAAGGAATAGAAGATTTCCTGATAGAAAGGTAAAATGAAAAATTGACATCAAAGGCATCTTAGTTGAAACATTAGTGATAACTGATATTGTATGGGCATGAACCAGGAGTTGGAATTTCAAGGATACAGGGTGAAATTTGACTTGGCAAATGATAAAAATAGATTTGAGGATACATTCAAAGGGAAAAGAATTACTATTAAACAATTAGATGCTTTTAAGCTTTCATACACCTATGGATGTGAAAATTTACTTTTTCTACCTAAGGATGTTCTACAAAAATATATGTACACAATGTGTGCCAGATGTTTATTTATGCCAAACAAGCCAAAAAGACCATTACCCAATATTGGTCCCGTTTATCTGGGGTCTTGTGAGGGGTGGACTGGATAAGGACCTAACTTTTTAACATTTTTTCCCCGAAGTGGTTGATCTCAGACTTGAACCCGCATTCCCATGCTTGTCAGCCTGCAGTTTTTCCATTTCATTTATGTAGAAGTGTTATTCAAGAATCCATTCAGTATTAAAAACTCTGAATCCAATATATGTTTGACATGGACAAAATCTGTCCATTTCAGAAAGCTCATGCAATGCTGGTTCTAAACCTGCAAAACTCATATTTTTTAATTTTGATATTAATAAATAATGGAGTATATTTCAATTGCTGAAAACAGTGTAACCAAACGCCCAGGAAATGTGAAAATCTATCTTGGAAGCTGCACTTTGATTGGTCAGAAAATTTTCCAAATTGGACGAGCTGTGATCCAACCACAGTTGAATTGGTCAAACTAATTTTTATGTATGGAATTTTACCTTTCTCAAGTATATTATCAAAATAAAAAGGGATAAAAAATGTCATGGAAGCGCAATGACAAGAAATGGAAGAACTAAAAGAAAACCCTACACCGAAGTCTCCTTTGAGAACCATGGGGTGTCCAAGGTTCTAAATCCACATATTGTGCAACACTGGTGATAAACCTGCAAAAAAAAATGGTTTTGATCTTGAGAAAAAAATATATATATCTTTTAATTGTGGAAACCAATATTACTGATAAAAAGGGGTGGAAGCGAGTTTTGAATCTGTGATGGTTATTATGCTAGAAAACTTTCCAAATTGATCAAAATTTGGTCTTGTATTAAAAAAAAGTTTATTGATAAAACCATTTTTTAATTATGAAATAAATATAATTTATAATCATAAAACTTATAGTATAATATTGGAAGAGAAGGATGATTAAAAGTAAAAAAAGATAATGTCATGACAAAAAAGGAGAATAGAAAATTGACATGAATGTCATTAATTTGAAACATTATTGGTAAACAAACTTTGCAGTTTTTTTATTTTAATTTCGGTGTGTTTTTATGGTCTTGGATAATTAAAAGTAAAAAAAGATAATATCATGACGAAAAGGAGAATAGAGAATTGACATGAATGCCATCTAATTTGAAACATAATTGGTAACAATCTTTGCACTTTTTTTTTTTTTTAAATTTTGGTATATGTTTTCATGGTCTTGGACCTAGGGGTTGGAACTTGACAGATCTTTTGTGGATTTTAACTTGACATGTCAATAAAAAATAGATTAGGAGAGACATTCAAAAAAAAAAAAAAACTAGTGAATCATGAGGTGGCTTTATATCTTAACATCCGTATACCAATGCAAAAGGGCATCACAGATATAAAAGTTTATCTTTCTACCTAGGAATGTTCTATAGGAAAAAGCTGGAATGCATAATATATGCTACATATTCGTTTGTACTGAATAAGATGGGATGGGAAGGGATGTGAAGAATATTAGCCAGATGTCTCTCTAGGAGTCATGTGGTATAGGAATTGACTTAAGCAATTGTTCATTTAGGAAAACCTATGTGATGCTGATGATAAACCTGCCAGACTACTAGAAACTGATTTTGATCTAGTAGGAAACCTGTCAACTGAAAAAATAAAGAAAACAGCAAAGAAAACAAGAAGTCTGTTATGGGCCAATACAGCGCATCAGCATACATGTGAGTCCCACACAATGGGCTGCTGTGGTATATCATGATTCGTCCAATCTCCTCCGTTTCCCATTGAGGTTTTGTACTGCAAAATTAAGAATAAGAAATTTAGAAGCATCTAACCGCAAACATTACCTATTGGTACATTATTGATGACATCCCAAAGATTTTCATTTCTTCTTTTCTTTTCTTTTCTTTTTCAGTAATTGAATTATATGTTAAAACTTAAGTACTTTCTAGGCAATGCTTTTACTCTCAGATTCTTCTATGAGTACTTTGTTGCTTTCTTGGTTATTTGCTTTTTATTCATTTCAGGATGTTACTATGAAGATTATATCCTTTTCTCAACAAGGACCTCGGGCCATTTGTATTCTTTCTGCAAATGGTGCAATTTCAAATGTTACACTTCGCCAGCCTGATTCTTCTGGAGGTACTTTGACATATGAGGTGTGTTCACCTATCCTCATTTTTTTTTTCAAATAACTGAACTCTTTTCTTCCTTTTTTTTCTGAGTTTCATACAAATTTTCAAGGACTATATGTCTCTTGTTCATGGATCTGTTTTATGCTGTGCGTACAAGTATGCATCCATAACCTTTACATATTGCATGGTTCAGATCAAGGATCAAAATTTCAACACATATTGGACCGTATCGGCCGATATGTATCATATCGGAAACCTCCCAATACGCCCCTACAGGGGGTGTTTTGGGGTTTAACCCGGTTCAGGGGGTAGAAGGGCCTTAGACCGACCACTCTGAACCAGGTTCACAAAAAAAAAAAAAAACTAGGAAAAAGGGGGGAGCGAGGGCTGATACAGCCTGATACGCCCCTACTGGCGTATCGGTCTGTATCGATATTTTGAACCTTGGTTCAGATCACCCATAGAATTCCTCCACAACTATCAAATTAGCAGTACTACTTTGTGACATAGACCTGAAAGGAGAACTTTACGTAGAGTACACCAACTAGAGTTTTTGATTGAAATTGCCATTCTATTGTAGAGTACAATCATCAACCAAAGAAAGAGGGGATAGTTGCAGTTATGTTGATTGAGCTTCTATCAGTGGTGGTTGAATAGAAAGCATTTTCAGCATTTGTGATTAGTAGTTTCAGAATAAGAGAGAGAGGGTATAGGAGCAGTTGTTTGGAGTGGAGTTCCTCTTTCTGCATGCATGTGAGAGAGGATATGTCTCTCTTGGTGGTGGTCGAGCAGCAATGGCAGAAAAGACTGCTGACAATCCTTATTATTACATCAGTTGGATTTTCCAATTTTTTCTTTGTCTAACTGTTGGCCATATTAATACCGAAATCAGCCATGAAAATTAGCTACACAATTAAGTCAACATTCTCAGAGATTGAGGAGTATACATGAAAGAGAGTGGAAACTCACGAAGAAGATGAAAGAATAGAGACTGAAATGCAGTGTAGTCAAAGTTCTAAATGAAGTTGTCATTTTATCCTGTCAAGGGGAATCATTTTTTAGTTCATAACTAGATGTTTGCTTGGGCAACCAGAACTTGACTGACACTATATAACTAAACTAAACAGAACCTTATCACAACTATAAATTATGCTAATCCTACTTTGTTTCTATTCAATAAAGGGCCATTATCTGTTAACTGTTATATTATGTTCCTGTCATTTCTCAGTACCTCAATTCATGTCCTTTTTAACCTGCACCTAGCCCTCCATTCAGTAAAGGGCCATCATTTGACTTCTTACTGGAACTAAGATGTAAAATGTATTCGTAATTATATAAACACATTAATGTATACATAATCCAAGGAAAGTGAAGGCATTGAGCCAGTAAATTGCATAAAATGGTAAAAGGTGGGAGTTTGTTTCCTTGTAGAAAAATTATGTTTCTATTAGACTCCTTCCTCCCCCACTTGATTTGTTTAAAAAGATGTTTGATGAGCTGCCTAAGAAACAACATCAAGCATAATGGAGATTATAGGCCCCTGAATTGGCAATTTCTTAGTTCAAGCAACAGTTCAACTAAAACATTTTTTCCAGGCCAGCTGCAGCTTTTCTTTTTCCTTTTTTAATGTACCCCTTTTATGAATCTATACTCAACATTGACCAAACAATGAAATTAATGAAAGCAGCAATGCAAGTTGCATAAACACTTCTTGAAACTAACTTTTGTATATATTCCATTACTAAACAGAAACTTATGAAATAATGGACTTGTTTTAATCCTTGATGAAGTTTTGGGGTCTACTTGTGGGGGAGAGGGGTTGTGTGAGCAGGGCAGGTTCTAAAAGAAAAATTCAAGGAACCTCATGGACTTGTTTTAGTTTTGAATTTGCATACTCTTGGATACTTGTTAAGGTAGAACTGTACTTTACCTTAAGAGAGTAGGTTGTAGAATATGAGAATTCTGATTTGTCCCATCATCATGTCTGATGAGTAGCTTTCACTAATTTGAACTATTGGAGCTTTGTTTAATTTATTATATTCTGATGGCATGGGTTCCACTAATTTGAACTATAATGCCACATTTATTATGTTGTGATTCTCTTGTCTGGATTCGCCATAACACAGTGATGCATTTCCTGCTGTTGTTCTTTTAGGGCCGTTTTGAGATACTTTCATTGTCTGGATCCTTCATGCCATCAGAGAGTGGAGGAACTAGGAGCCGATCTGGTGGAATGAGTGTTTCATTGGCCAGCCCAGATGGTCGTGTTGTAGGAGGTGGGGTAGCTGGCCTATTAGTAGCTGCCAGCCCAGTGCAGGTAGTTGTTTCTTCGGAATGTAATCCTCTTAAGTTTTCTGCTTTTGTATTGGATTATTTGGCTTAGCAGATCTATCTTTTATTATTATTCCAATGAGATGTAGAAATTATGGGGCCATTGCTTGGTGCAATGGTAAAATCCCAGGCTGAAATTATGCAAAAAAATGCCCAAGGTTAGGTTCATATTCAGTTGACCACTCCCAAGACCCTGAAGATCTAGGATCAACATTGGTTTTTTATTCCAATTCAATGTGGTAAATTATCTCACTTCATAGAAAAGTTGGCATGATGATCATTGCTTGGTGTGGTTCTAAAATCACAGGCTGACAAGCATGATAACCTGGGTTCAAGTCTGAGAGCAGCCACTTTGTGCTAAAATGGCCCTTTTTTTTGCACAAACATGGGTTCAAGTCCCCCTTTTTTTCCTTTTTCTTTCGAGTCCCTACTTTAACTCAACTGATCATTTTCATTTTAGCTATTTCTAAGTCCAGGAGTCAATACTCGTATTAATATTTAATATTCTCCAATCTTCCAGGTTGTAGTGGGAAGTTTTCTGCCAACCACTCAATTGGAACATAAACCGAAGAAGCCAAAAACTGAAGTTACATCAACTGCCACACCAACTACTGCAATTCCTATTTCTAATGCAGAGATGGAGGAGGGCTACAGTGATCAGGGGCAGCGGAACTCAGCAACCCCTAAGCCAAATCTTGCATCCGCATCTTCCTTCCGTGGAGAAAACTGGTCAACCATACAGTCCGTGCCAGAATCTAGGAATTCGGCCACTGATATTAATATATCTTTGCCTGGAGGTTAATCTGAACAACTTACCTAGTTATTCACCTTGAGAGTTCTGATGGTATTCGTACCTTTGATCTTGGTTGTGTTGGGCAGACTTCAATGAGAATTTGAAACTCACTATTTTCTGTGTCTGACATGTCCACAAACTCATTGGCTATTTGATGCTAACTGATGAGTTGGGGATTTTGCGGCCATTAGACTTCAAGTTCCAACTCAGATTTGGTGTTCTCTTTCATCAGATAGGACCTTGATTAGTAGGCTAGGTGGGATTGATATACATTTGTTATCATGTATCTTATGCTGTTGTGTTCTTTGATAGTTTGTTGTTAGGATGATGTATTGTCATATTTCTGCTTCTACCAAGTTGTGTTTTCCCATTTGGGCCCGGGAGGTTTTACTCTAAAAGAGTAATGCTAAACATACAGACACAAAACAGATCTGTTTTCTTCTATGCCTTATGATGCACCGTACACCACCAATCTGGAATATTGTGTCATTATAACTGGGCCCTGAACTGTGAGTACTGTTGGTCCCAAACATAATATTCTAGATTTGTGGTGTAAGATTTTGTAAGCAAAGGGGGAAAAACCTATATGCTTATACCCTATTATTTCCAAAACTACCAGTCTTTCACGTCTTGTAGGGTCTGTATTTTACTTCGGCAGGGAATGAAAATTATGATGAAAGGAAAAAAAATCGATATGAATCTAAACAGGAGGATGCTTAGGTGACCGCTGGCCTAGGTGGTTACGATTCCATCATTTCATTTCCTATTTACTTATTTATTTATTTATGAGCAAGGCCCATTATGGTGGGCAAAACAGTCGGTTTTAACTCTCATGTGAACCATGAGTTTATGACTTAAGCACATCTAGCATTCATTTTCCGTTGTTGGTCTTAACCTACTTGATTTTCTCAAGTCCAGATCACCCACGACAGCTCTACCCACACCTACTCACATAACATCGCAGTCACACATGGGGAACATATCATCCTCTTGCAAGTTACATGGGGAGATGTTCCCAGCACGAAGGTAGTGTTTTGTCGATACTAGGTAGGTGTGGGCAGAGTTCTTGTGGTTTTTACTGTTGACTTCCAAAATTGAGGTTTACCTGCTGGCAAAATTTCTATTTTTTAGAAGATAAGGTTTCCATAATCTCAGATCCTTTTTTATGCCCATCTACTCGAAACAAATCAATTCTGATTAACAATCATCTTAGTAGTTGTTTTTGTTTGAATGAAACATAAGATCATGCATATTGGCGAAAACCCCTTTATCATCACTCCCACAAACTGAGCTTCCTCTCAATTGCATCTTCATTTCCATACTTCCATATATCTGAACACTGAGCCGAGTTTTACCGAAGAAAAAAACCTCTGAGCTGAGGAACCGTCTTTTAAACAAAGGCTTATTGATCGAAAAAGCAATACAAGACTGCCGTGGAACCCAAATTGCTGAATGGACATAGAATTAACGACCTCAAACTTGAGTATGTACTCAACAACCTCAAAGTATTAAGTTTTCTCTTAAATCTGTGATTAACATTTTCTAGCTTTGTGTACGAGTCAACAATTTCATAGTTAATTCCTTCAGTCAGATGGCCTCCCATGAAACCCAATTTCTTGCAGTAAGGCAAATTTTCCTTTTGCTTGGAGCAAACTTGCGCTGATTTTTTTTTCTTCTTTTTTCCCTATGCAACAATACGGAATTGGTTCACCTTAAGTCTGCACTGCTTGCTTTAAACAATTTTGGGCATTCAATGGCAAGAATTGTGAAACCAATTAATATCAATATCAACTAAATCATCCTGATTACCTGGCTTTCCTAACAGAGTTATCAAAATTTTAAGGGTTTCCACTTAACTCTGCAAAATTGAGTTCCAAACTTCATAATTTATTTATAGTAATCCATTGAATGAACATCTAATCCTTTTACTCACCTTTATCTCATTCCAGTATTAGATCTCAAAAGCCAATATATTTCTCCACCAAAACAAAGCAAAGGAGAGGAGAGGAGTCCTTACATGAGTCCTCAAAAGTCACTAAGGAAACCCTTGGAGGACTTTTCACCCACTCCACTGCATCAACAAGTGAAACTTAGACATACAAAACAAATCTAGAGATGATTCAATTCCTTAAGCACTGCACCACATGTATAACGTCTAGAATGAGAACACCTGTAAGATCATCAATTGGATTACCTCTATCTTGCTCTAACATAGAATTCTGTACAAGAAAGTTTCTCCAGTCTTGTTAGTTGTTTGTACCATATAGTTTACATTATGGTATCCATTAATGGGGGGATGTGTCATACTCACTAATGGCTAACAATTAGGTCCTGGTTGAAGGTCACCACTCACCAGTAGTCCTTGCAAGAACAACCCCCCTCCATAAATCGGTGAAATCGAGTACTGTCTCTTACAACAATCTCTCTCTTGTAGACCTTAGATATTGACTTCATCAACCTGTGGCAGTCCGCACACATGCGGAGGTTCTTGACGATCCTAATAGGTGTAGAGGCACAGGTATTCAGCAGGCCAAAAGCAACAGCTACCTTCTCACTGTGATGGGTTTGGGGGTTTTCCTCACCTCTATTCTCTCCAACCTTCTCCATCACCTCATCTAACATCTCCTTAGTCCTAGCCCACATGGGGTGTGAACTATCTCCTACAGAAAACTCATGAACCTGAAATCCAATCTCAATCCAACTACGACCCTTTGGTTTCTTTCCAATCCTTAGCCTTGCTTCTGCCATTTTATCCATCAATCCAGCTCTGGCATACATGTTTGACATGATCACATAGTGGCTAGTGTCCCCCTTTAGACCATCTTCATCGATCCCAATTATTTTCTGGCTCACACGCTCTGCCATACCCATATTATTTTGAACCCTACATGCGCTGAGCAGAGCTCCCCAAATGACGGTGTTGGGTGGAACCGGCATCTTATTGACCATTTCAAAAGCCTCCTCAAGTAGTCCCGCCCGGCCAAGCAAGTCCACCATGCAACCGTAATGCTTGACTGTGGGCTCAATCCCATATTTATTTTGCATCAAACCAAAATAAAAACGCCCCTCTTTAACGAGCCCGCTATGGCTGCAACCACATAGGATTGCCACAAATGTTACCTCGTTGGGATGGATTCCACTTTCTTTCTCCAACTCTGAGAACAGTTCTACAGCCTCTCTTCCACGTCCATTCACCGATAGCCCATGTAACATCGCATTCCAAGAAAGGAGAGTTTTCGTGGGCATGGAATTGAACACTGCAAGAGCGTTGTCTACACTTCCACACTTACAGTACATATCAACCAGGGCCGTCCCGATAAAGATTGTTTGTTCGAGTCGCACTCTTTCTATGAAAGCGTGAACCCACATACCCAGGTTCAAGGTACCAAGGCGAGCACAAGCTGATAGTAGACTAACAATGGCAAATTGATCGGGCTTAACTCCAGTCTCTTGCATTTCACGGAAGATCACCAATGCCATTGAAGGTTGCTCCCACCTCAGGCATGCATCCATTAGGACTGTCCACGAGACTACATTTCTGTTAGGCATTCTATCGAACAGGTTGAACAGGCTCTCCATTTGCCCACAGGAAGAGTACATTGAGAGGAGAGATGTCTGTACAAAGACATCAGAAGCGAGACCCCATTTGATGGTATGAGCATGGATTTGTTTGCCAGGAGCTAAAGCAGAGACTCTGGAACAAGCTTTGAGAACCGGAGCAAAAACAAGTTTAGGGAAGACTCCTCCACTGTGAATTATAACTAACTCCTTGTATCTTTCAATGATACGATATGGACATTTGTGGTCGTCAAAGAGATCGGCGGGAGAATATCGGGACCAAAGAGAATTATCGAGGTTGTTGATAGAAGAACAAGAAGAAGGCAGGATTAGTTGGAGCTGAGAGAGGGTCACAGCGGTCATTATCTTTGTTTCCAACGGTCTCCTGCCCTTCCAACCGTCCAACGTTGGAAAGGAAAGGTGAACTTAGGGAGCCCAGCCCAAGTATGATACCTGTCATTAACCAATCGGTTAACCCGCCATTAAGTAACACTCGAAAAGATACAAATGCCTTTTGAGTGTCATCTAATTTTCTTTATTAATCATACACATATTGATAAAAAATGAACCGTCTCAATTTCTTACCTTTTCTGTTCAAACTTTCTTGAACAAAAGAGGCAAGGATTTGGGGCTGTTCATTTTTTGTCAATGTTTGGATGATTGATAAAGAGAATAAGATGACACTTGAAAGATATTTGTGTTTTTTCAAATGACATTTAATGACTGGTTATTGGCAAGCACAAGATTGTTATATTTTGAAAGTTTGGATATTAAATTGTCCCGTTTTAAAATTCGGGGACTAAAATGGCATTAAACCAAAAGTATAGGGTACTAATCTAAAATTTATTTGGGGTAGTGACAAAAAGGTATTTTGAACTTTCAATTGCATTAATTAAGTACTTGAACTTTCAAAAATAGATACATGGGCCCATAGTATTCTATCAGTTAAACATTACATAATGCCAAAAATACTTTTATCATGAATTTCTAAGATCATTTTAAGGTAATCAAACGCCTTCCCATGATGATTTTCTCATATGAACAGTAAATAACATATTCAAATTTTTCCATGAGGGCTTTCTCTAGTGATGATTTTACTCCATAGAATAGGAGTGTTCATTATATGGTTCAAACTATAAAACCAAACTGAATCAAATCGAATTTACGGTTTGGTTTGGTTCAGTCTAAATTTATAACAGTTTGGTTCGGTTTCATGAATTTAGAAAATACAGTTTACAGTTTACGACTTGGTTTATTAAATTTTATGAACCAGTAAACCATATTAATATAAATATCCAATACAATATATATAAATATATGAATAATAAAATTTAGTATATTAATTTTAATTTTAATTTTTAATTTGTAATTATGACTTTCTTGTTAATACCTAGCCAGTAGACCTGTTCATGGGCCGGGTGGCCCGACCCCCAGACGGGCTTGAACAAGATTTTTGGCCTGCGGGCTTAACCTCGGGCCAAAAAGCCCGGCCCGCATAAAATTCGAGCCAGGCTCGGGCTTTGCCAAAATAGCCCGGCCTGGCCCGACTTATAGTTAAACTTAAGTAAACCCGGCCCGACCTATAGTTAAACCTAAGTAAAAACCCTATGTGATGTCTATTTGAATAAATKTTTTRATTTGADGTCATTGATTCACTTGTAGACCCATTGTTCATTTAAATAGGGGAAAAAAACATTTAAATTAAAATAGAAAATGTCAAAAAATTTTGAATTTCTTTTATTAGCTCGGGCTTCGGGCTCGGGCTCGGGCTTCGGGCTTTTCATCAGGGCCGGGCTCGGGCCCAAATTGTAGGCATAAAGAGTCAAAGCCCAGCCCGGCCCATGAACAGGTCTACTAGCCAGCTAACCTTTTGTTTCCCTTTTGGTTTTCTTGAGAAAGAGAACATCAAACGCCTAACGGAGGAAGTGAAGTTTTCTTCTCAGAGAACGCCGAGTCACCACGATTTAGTGTTGCCGGTTTTTCGCTGCTGTTGGTTTACTGTCACTAGTCATACCTTCGCCGTCCGACTTCGCGGTAAATGTTCTCTTTCTCATTCTCGTTACCTAATACAATGAAACCCTAACCATTCTCGCCGACCCACCATTTTCACCGACTCACCGCCAGCCACTCCACCATTGTCGCTGCTCCTGTCTCCCTCTCTTGATGCCACCTCTCTTCCAACCCTAACAAAACGCCCTAACCAAGGAGGTCAGGAAACCCTCTTCCTTTGTTCAACCGAATCCTATACGCACTAGTCCGGCAACTCCGATTGGTTGGTGCAATCTCTTTATCATCTTCCCATCTCCTCTTTAATCTATTCTATTACTTGAAAAAGAAAAACCCTAATGGCCTACCCCCTTTATCTCTTCTTTGATGCAGTGACATGTTCAATTGTGAACAAAAGGAGCATAACTGGAATTGAAACTCTAGAAATAGATGAACAAAATTCGAATTTGGGCTTGGGAGAAAGGTAAAATATCAAACAATTTTAGAATTTTGGACAAAAAATTAGATTTATTTAATTTTTAATTACATGTTTTTAGGATTAGAATGCAGATCTTTTATATGAGAATGCTTATATTAATGTTCAGATTTATTTAATTGATTATTTTACATTGTTCTTAAGCTTTTTGGTTTTTATGCATTGTATATATTTAAATTTCCAACAATAAATTGATTTATTTTTATTTCAATTTTATTAATAGATTTGTATATAAAATATTGATGAGGGCAGATTTGGCCCTCCACTAATATCATGACACATGGCATCTCAGAACAAGTAGGTGACACCCACCACCTAGGCGATAACTTGCCTTAGCCAAAATGGTGGAGTCCCAACTAGCGACCTGCCTCTAGTGCCGACCTGGCGACCTACCTCTGGCGCCGACCTGGCGACCTACCTCTAGTGCCAACCTAGCGACCTGCCTCTAACCCTGACCTAACGACCTTCCCCTATTGCTAACCTGGCGACTTGCCTCCATTGCCAACTTGGCGACCTACCTCTAGCGCCGACCTGGTGACCTACGAGACGTGCTCGCTGTCGATTTTTGCATGCATCCAATTACTCCCGGGTCTCTCGGAAGTTAGCTCTCACACCAAATGTTTTGGGAGAAACCGAGTAAGGTGCAAAGATTGGCCTAAGTGCACGACTACCTCCGAGGACTTCGGAGCATTTAGGCACGTCCTCCTGGAGATCCCGAACGTGTTGCGTGATGCTCACGCTAAACAGTGCCTATATAAAGGCCTTACCTCCAACCCTAGTGAGGAGAGGCGCAATTTAGTTCTCGCAGCTTTCATCTCTCTCACATTTAGCTATCTTAAAAATCTCTGAATCGCTAACTTGAGCATCGGAGTGCCCACCCCGGGTAAAGCAACCCAGGCACTCTGACACTGTGTCCTTGCAGGTTGCATTAGAGACACCTCTCTAACTCGTCACCACTCAGCTAAACATCAGAGCTACCTCTCTAGCTTGTCACCATTCAGTTAGGCGTCAGAGCCACCTTCCAGGTAGGAATCATTCAGTTAGGCATCCAAGCCACATTCCATGTAGGGATAATTCAGCCAGGCATCCGAGTCACTTGCCAGACGGGAGCTGCCGATCTGTGCTTCATCAAATATATTATATTGTTCTTTATTCAAATGTTCCTATTTTCAAAATTGTTTAGATCATAATTGTTAATATACTCCATTAGTCCCCAAACCGTATTAGGAACTGCACCAAAACATAATAAAACGGTTGGTTTCTATGCCAAAATGGTTTGGGTTGGTCTAAGAATTTTCCAAACCATAATTTATTGGTTTGGTCTGAGAATTTCTCCAAATTGTACCAAACCGGACCATGAACACCCCTACCATAGAATGATCTAAAAAATATAAGAAAGGGTATTTTTGACATTATGCAATCTTTAACTGATGGAATACAAACAGATAGGCCCAAGTGTCTATTTTTGAGAGTTCAAAGTACTCAAATGTTGCAATTAAAAGTTTGGGATACCTATCTGTCATCACTCTAAAAGTACAGATACCTATACGTAATTTACCCTATATTTTATTATTAACCTAGAATATTATTATTGGTTCCACAGCCATTGCATTTTTGCTAATCTGGACCCGCCCGCTATATCATTTATCATTTATCATTTATCTACAGGCGACTGGCATGTATGTTGCAAATGGCATCCGTTTGTCCAAATTCGAATTCGAATCAATACCCAGTAAAGTAATGGAATTCGATCCGTTAATGATTGGATCAAAATACAGATCCACCCATATCTGTCCGATTTAATGGTTGGATGGTTGGATCTATGGGAGCTGATCGCAAGCTACATTAAAAGCTCAATTACTCATCTTAAAGACGTTAGTAGATGTATAATTGCATATACGCATGCATAAATATAAGCATTTATGTTAAATTTTAGTATAAGCTGATTGACTAACCTTAGCCCAAGCCCAAGTCCAACCATAATGTATCAAAATTTAATAAATCAGGCTTGATTAAGGTTCTAAATATCGATACATCTGATACATCGGTAGAGATATATCGGGCAATATTAGTCTTTTTTTACTTTTTATTTTTATTTTTTTTTAAATCAGTTTAGGGGGGCAGTTTTGAGGCTCCTCCACCCCTTGAACTGGTTAGAACCCCGATACACCCTCTGTAGGGGCATATTGGGGTGCTCCTGATACGGGCCATTACATGTCAATGCTTTGAACTTTGGGCTTGACCTCAGGCTCAGGCCTTAAAGTCCAATCTAATTCTTAGAGTTGGGCCTAGGTTGAACTTAAACCTAGCCCGGCTTGGATGGTTGCCTTTTAGGGATTTTACTCTTGTCCTTGGAGCAGTGCTGATTTTTTTTTTTGACTCTTGCACCACCCTTGCGCATTCCTCTTGTGTATGCTAATTGCAGAAGTCTTGTTCGCTCATCTCCATTATTGTTAATTTTATTCTTTCCAAGAATTTGTGCCCCATTTCTTTGATTGGCATTTAATGCCGCTTTTGTATATATACATGTTCTTGTTTA